GTTTGTGACCACCGTGGGGACACGGGAGCAGTCCCTGGACAGCCCTGCCCTGCCTCCCTCGGGCTCTGCTGCCCGCTGGCACCTGCCGCTGCCTTGCTGAGGGAACGGGAGCAGCGAGGGGGATTTTTGCTGCCTCCCCCATTGCTTTGCTGCTGTTTTCCCACTCCGTGGCAGCCCTCTCAGCTGGAGCCACGGAAATCGATGCGGAATGGCTCTGGCTGCCGATGGAGCTGCCATGAGACCACTCCAGCTGACAAACACCCACCAGGAGAGGCGGCTCCGACACTTCCATGCTCACAATCAGCATCTCAAATCCCTCCCAGGATTGGACGGCTCCCAGACTCCCTGACTGTGCATCCAGTGCCCCTCAGCCCCACCTGCTCCAGCCCCAAAGAGAGCTGGAGCAGCTCCCACGAGACCCTGCTCCATCCCAACAGGGATGATGCTCAACTCACAGCCCTCAGCACAAAGATCTGGCTTCCTGGGATGCGGCCTCTGGAGAAGGTCACCGTGAAATGCTGGGAATTTTAGGGTGCATTTCACCCCAGAAACATTCCAGCCTCTGAGCTCCACGTTGCCTGTAGGGTCACCATCCCAGTTCCAGCTTCCCAGGCTCTTCCAGCAGCTGGCTCCCACCTGGCTCCTCACCCAGCCAAAATCCCTGTGTTCTGCCAGTGCCAAAGCCACTACACCCCGGGGGGCTGCTCAGCCCTTCCCAAGGAGCAGCTCTGGAGAGCCCCAGTTGCAGGCACAGGTAAGGGATGGAGGGGAAGTCCAGGGCAGTGCTGGGAAGGATAAAGATCCCAAACACTAACACAAAGAGCTCCTGGTGCTTGGGAGAAGCCATCCCTCACCTCCCCTGGCTCCAAGGGACAGCTTTGGGGACCCTCCAGGTGCCAAGGGGGCCGGGTCACAGCCAGGCTGGGTGGCTCAAAGCCACTCATGCCTCTGAAGAGACACATTTGTGCCTTTGAAAAACCCAAAACAGGCAGTTGCCAATTTTTTCCCATCGGGCACCCCAGAGGAGCAGGGCATGGAGCCTGGGGCAGCCTGGGAAGGGATTCCCATATGGAAAAAGGACCCCAGTGACACCCAAAGCAGCCTTTCCCAGCAGAGATAGGAGAGTGGGGTGAGGCCAGCAGAAGAAAAAGCAGCTCCCAGTCCCAAATCCCACTGCCCTTCATCTTCAAAGGGCTCTTCTCATCCCCTTCCCTACCTGCTCCCGGCATCCCTGACAAAAAGGATGAGCCTCACAGCAGGCTGCAGCATTCCAGGCTCCCAATTAAAATCAAAGGATCTGCAGAGATGGATCCCAGAGGGACACACCATCCCAAGCCTTCTCCCTCCTGCTCTCCCCAAAGACAGGTCCCCAGGGGGAGAAGAGCCAAGGACAGGACACAGAGCATCCATCCCACGGCTGCCTCGGGATCAGGGGCTTTGGGAGCCCTCTGGACCATGGCGGAGGGGTGACCCAGGCCATGCCATCTCCAGCAGGCAGAGACAGCCCCACTTCATCCCTGAACTGGCTTTATCCCCCTTGAGCACCCATCCCATGCTCCCCCAATCCCCCAAACCTCACTCCATGCTACCTCCCAGCAAACCCCAAGCCCCATAGCCCCACAGCCAGCCACTTCAGGGCTTTATTATCCTTTTTCCCCCAGTTCTTTTTTCCTTTTTCATCCTTTCCCTCCCCACCTGGTGCATCCCCTTTTTCAGCCCGCTGCCTCGCGGTTTCCAGCCGGGAGAGCACCGTAATGGCCTCATTATTTCCAGTGAGGAATCCGTGTGCTCAATTAGGCAGAGGAGGGTAATTATCTACTTGGAGAAGATGAGGAAAAGGCAGGGTGTTTTGTCAGGGACCAGCACAGCCCCTGGATGCCCCAGGTGTCTCCAATGCTGGGCCAAGGGGAGCCCTGGGATAATCCCACTGCGCTCCCAAACCCACCTGGCTGGGTCTTCCCCACTTCACACCCCCCAAAACTACCTAAAATCCTCATGCCCTGCACCTGCAGCCTCCAGACATCCTGTTTAATGAGTAATTAACCTTCTTCCTTGTTAATTAACCGGGCAGCACCCCTGGCACAGACAGACAAGTCCTGGCTCATGGTGGCCAAATCCCAAAGTCATCTCCAAACCCCTTTTGGTGCACAGACCCTTGGGGTGATGCTCTTCCCCCAGACCCCTGCAACAAGTTTTTTCCTTAATATGGTTTATTTCCTATTACCTATTTGGGATTTTTTTGCTTTGTTTTTTCTTCACTCCATTCCATGTTTTTCCACCTAAAACACTCCCTGCCTCTCCCACTCTGGCAGCAGCAGGATGAGATGGCCAAACCCTTCCCCAGCCTCCATCCAACCCCTTTCCACCACCTTGTGTCCAAAAAGGCCGAGTGGAACCTAAACTCTGCCTTTCCCACACCTTCACCTTGGTTTTAGGAGCCCACTGGAAAATCCCAGTGCAAGGAGCATCCCAGCAGGATCCAGTTTTCCCTGGAGAATCCCCCACCTCTCCACATCTCAGCCAGGGAAGGTGCAAGGGGCAACATTTCTTCACCCAAAGTACTTTCCCATCTGTCTCCCCACCTCCCAGACACCTCGTTCTCCACCAAAGCCCAGCTCCCCCCATTCCCAGCCATTGCACCCCTTCCCTTCCACTGCACAACCTCTGGCTTCCCCCTGGGGCATCCCAAGGAGCCGGCCGGGATGCAGGGCACGCAGGGAGAGCAGGGATGGGCTCCTGCCAGGCTCAGCACCTGGGAACATCCCTGTGCATCCTGCCGGCAGCAAAACCACGGCTCGCCCCCCAGCACCCGCGGGGACCCCGATCCGTGGTGTTCCCAGGGATGGCGACAGCGATCCCGAGCCATTTTCCCCGGAAGCTCCTGGGGATGATGGTGGGAGCACAGGGAAACCCCCCGGGATCACCGGGCAGCCCCTGCGGCTTTCCCGGCACGGAGGATCCCGCAGGGAAGCGGCAGCCCCCGGTGCCCCCCCTCCCTCCCAGCCTCATTTCCTGCCTCGCTCCTTCCCATTATCCTGATTTTACCGTAAGGCCCAAAAATTTGCAGGCTCATGCTGCTGCTCCGCTCGGAAACTTTGGGTTTTCCAGCCGGGAGGCTTTGCCAGCCTCCGGGACCGCTGGGACACCCTGGGGAAAGCCTTTCCCTCCCTGCACAGGCTCTAAATCCCGTCCCTTTCTCATTTTTTAGGACAAAACGCGCTGGGCGAGGTCGGTCCCAGCAAGAACGCCACGGCTCAAGTTTCACCCTGCAAATATTGCGAGTGGCTTTGTGCCTCCCCGGGCAGCCCCGGGACACCTGCCCCGGGAAAACCGGGACACGAACCGAGCCCCGGGGCACCTGTCCCTGCGGAGCATCCCGGAACCCATCCCGGCCGCTGCCCGAGGGAGGGAGAAAAAAGGAAATTTGGTATTTTTACAGTAGAGAAGTTCAGGCTGAGAAAGTGTCGGGATGGGATGGAGAGGGTTGGAAAGGATGGGAACGTTGGGAAGGGATGGGAAGGAAGAGATTGTCCCTTCCAGCAGGGCGAGCGCCTATAAATGGCCTCTTTGTCATCTCAGCCAAGGCAGCGGGTGGAAAAATGAGGACGGAGCGGCTCGAGGGGGGACAGTGAATGTCCCGGCCGGTTCGGGGGCCCTCCTGGGTGTCCCCTCCTCCCGAAGGTCCAGCGCCGGGGCGCGGAGCCCACCGAGGGGTCCCGCTCGCCCCAAACCCGCGCGGGTGATGCGGGGGGGGGGGGGGGGGGGGGGGGGTGCTCCGGGTCCCCAGCGTGGCAGGGGGACCCTCAAACCCCTGGGGGACCCCCAAACCCCAGGTGCTCTGAGAGCACAGCGCGGGGGGGAGCCCCGGCACTCCCTGGGGACCCCCAAACCCCAAGTGCTCCGGAGTGCCGGGGGAGACCCACCACCCCTTGGGGACCCCCAGAGCCCCCCGAGGCCCCGCTCCCGCTGCCGGGGGCCCCCCCCCCCCTCCCCCCGTTACCTTTGCCGTAGGCGAAGGGGAGGCGCAGGGCGCGGCCCTGGCGCACCAGGCTGATGTGCAGGTAGGTGAACCAGGCGGCCGAGGTGAGCAGCGCCAGCAGCAGCAGCAGCTTCAGCTGCTTCCGGAGCTTCTTCACCGGGAGCCGCGGCATCCTGCCGCCCGCATCGCCCCCGCCGCTACCACCACCGCCGCCGCCGCCGCCGGGCTAACCCCGGCCCATGGGGCCCCCCGCCCGTCCAGCCCGCGCGCTCCGGGCCGGCCGCGCCGCGGAGGCGGGGCCTGCGGAGGCGCCGCTCGTCTCCACGCCAACGGTCCGGCAGCCCCGCGGGGCGCCGCGGGCGCGGCCATGCGGGGCGCGGGGGGAGCCGTGTCCCCGACCCTGCCCCCGACCCTGCGCGGCGGGAGAGCGGGGCGGCGGCGAGGCGGAACCGAACGGGGCATCCGTGCCGAGGGGACGGAGGGGTCGGCGAGATTGGTAAAGCGGGCCTTGGCTGGGTCGCCCCCCGATCCCCCCCCCCTCGCGGCGATGATGGTTCGTTCCCGCCCAGCAGCGGTGGGGGCTGCAGCGCCCGGCCCGGTCCGCAGGGGGGCGCTACCCGCGGGCACGGACCCCACCGGGATGCCCGGGATCCCGGGATCGTCCCGGGATGATGAGTGCGGGGATCCCTGGGATCAGGGCCGGCATCCCGGGATCGTCCAGGGATGATGAGTCTGGGGATCCCCGGGAGCATCCTCTCGCTGGGTGCGGGGATCCCCTGGGAGCTGCCTCCCAATCGCTGCGCGTCCCACGGGGGCTGGATCCCCGGGATCCTCGCTGGGCGCCGGGATCCGCAGGAAGCCCCTGGCTGGGTGCAGAGAGTCCGGGCTCTGTGCCCCCTCGGCCGCCCTGCTCAGCCCGGCCCAGCTCGGTGCGCTGATCTGCCGGCTGGTTCTTCCCTCTGCAGCTCAGGGGTGGAAAACAACGGGACTTTTCCCCTCCTCTCCCATCCCACAGGCTGAGGCAGCGTCCCCTCCCTGCTCTGCGGCTCAGGCTAGCGGCGAAACCGCGGGAGAAATCCGTCATTAAAGGAAGGAATACACTCACGGCTGGGGAAACTAGAGGGCATCACTGCCCTGGGCTGCGATTCCCAGAAACCAAATCCCAGTTTCCAGGGCGGGGCCATGCTTGTTCGGTTTATTTAATCAGAAACACTCCCGGAGTTGCCACGAGAGGGTTCCAGGACAGCGTATCCAGCGGATTCCGGTGCATTAACACAGTCCAAGCACTCTCACACCGTGAAGCCTGAGAGCGGGATGCAGCCCCCGGCAGCAGCCGGAGCTTTCCGGGGATCCCCATGGCATCCCCAAAAAGTGGCACCTCCTGGCCTCAACCCTGTGTTTGTGGGAGATGGAGGTGGGCTTGGGGCTCCAGCAGGATTTGGGGATTTCGCAGGGATAAGGGACAGAGAAAGAGGAAAAAAGGGAATGAAAAGGGGGATAATGAAGGGGCCAAGGGAAAAAAGGGGCAATGAAGGGGATAAAGAAAGGGGGGAAAGTGAGGAAAAAAAAAAGGGGGGGGGGAGGAAAGAACAGGGTAAGGAAAGAAGCAGGCAAAGAAGGAACAAAACGGGAAAAGGGAAGAACAGGACAATACAGGTGGTAATAAAAAAGGGGGGGAAAGAATGGGGTAAAGGATGAAGGGAGGATAGGGGGCAAAAAAATGACAAGGAAAAGGACAGGGAAACAAGGGGGTAAAGAAAGAAAAGGGAAAGAAAACGGTGAAGCAAAACGGGGGCAAAGAACGGGCAAAGGTGGAGACAAGGAAGGAAGCCGGCAATAAAGAGGTAACAAAAGAAGCGGGGAAAGGGGTGAAGAGAGGGATTAAGCAGGGAACGAGGAAATGGGGCCCGGGGTTGCCCCGCCGCCGAGGAGGAGTCTCCCGAGCCCTCACAGCGGCGTCCGGAGGGGCGGTCTCTTCCCGCTCCCTCCTAAATCTGGAGGAAACGAAACCGCGGTGCCTCCACCTCCGGCAGCAGCACGCGTGCCCCAGGTGTCGCCGCCGCTGTCCCCGAGCCCGAGAGATGCAGCAGCAGCTGCCGCCCTACGAGGTGCTGCCGGGGGAGCTGAGCATGGAGGAGATGTCCCGGAGCACCACGGTGATGGTGGAGGAGACCCCGCAGCCGCCGCCGCCCCGGGACCACCTGGTGTGGTCCCTGTTCACCACCCTGTACGGCAATTTCTGCTGCCTCGGCCTCCTGGCGTTCGTCTTCTCCGTCAAGGTGGGGAGCCCGGGGGGACACCGGGGGTGGGGGCGGCCCCGGGGACCCCAGCGAGTCCCAGAGCTCAGGGACACCCACTGAGCCCCCAGCCCAGGATGCCCCGTGGAGCCCACTGAGCCCCCAGCCCGGGATGCCCCGTGGACCCCACTGAGCCCCCGTGGACCCCACTGAGCTCCCGGCCCCGGGGTGACCCGTGGACCCCACAAATCCCAGAGCAGAGGGTGCCCCAGGGACCCCACGGAGTCCCCTCTTCACGGACCACCGAGCCCCGGCTGGAAGCTCTGCAGAGGGTAGGGTTTGGGGCGGGGAGGGCAGTGGGCACCTCAGGGTATCCCCGGTGTTTTGGGCAGGGTTCAGCCCGGTCTGGCACCTCCAGCACCTCTCCCACAGCCCTGAGCCCCCTGGGAACCCCCCACCCCTGACTCTGCCCCTGCCTGTCCCCAGTCCAGGGACCGCAAGGTGCTGGGTGACTACAGCGGGGCCCTGAGCTACGGCTCCACGGCCAAGTACCTGAACATCGCGGCCCTGGTGATCAACATCTCCATCGTCATCATCGTCATCGTCCTCGTCTCCCTGGCTGTCTCCGGGGTCTTCAACCCACCCCCTCCCCGGTATGGGTACGGGTACGGGTACAGCCACACTTAAGTGCCCTCCTTACCCTGCGGGCTGTGCTTCCCTCCCCGGCGCCAGCCCGGCCTTGGAGCGACAATCCACGCCAGTCCACGTGCCTCACCTGGAGCCTGCTGCTCGCCTGTCCCTGCTCCCTCCCCACTCGGAGCTTCTGTGGAGGCCTTGCTGCTGGCTGCCCTCTCTGGAGCTGTCTGGGGACGGAGAGTGCTCCCCAGAGAGCAGCTGAGCACCCCAAGCCTGCCGCAGCCTGCTTGTTGCTTTGCTCTGGGCCTGGAGCCCCAGCTGCCTCCAAATAATTCTGAGGAGAAGCACCTGGTTTCAGAGAAACCCTGGTTCCTAAAATAAAGGTTTCTTTCACTTTTTCCCTGTCTTGGTTTCGTATCATGAGGATGTGGTTTGCGGTTACTTCTACAGCAGCTTGACAAGGGTGAGAAACGTGGGATGTGCCTGGGGGAGGTGGAAACTGTCCCTCATCATGGACACAATGCTCAGGGGACGCCCCGGGTGCCATGGACCTGGATACTGCATCCATACGGGGAGTGAAGCTCTTGGAAGGGTCACACCCAGGATGAGGGTGGAACCTGATCCCTGCTGGGGTGTCACCAGGAGCACCCCATCCTCACCAGCCCTCAGGAGGGGCTGGCAGCAAGCAGAGCCGAAATCAAGGTGGCTTTGGTGGGGCAGGATGTGCAAAGGGCTTGAGCAGGATGAGCTGGAATGGGATTGAGCAGGGTCAGCAGGGCTGGAGAGGCTCCCAGAGGAAAGGGGCCGGTGGAATCTGCGGCTCCATCCCCAGTTTCCCCACCGGGGCTGGATCCCACATCTCCCCTTGCAGCCAGGTGAGCTGGGGTCTGTCACTGTGATATTTTATGAAAATCCTCTTCCCAGGATTTTTTCCTGAGTTGCTGAGAAGCCTCAGAAAAGAAATGCAAACAATAACTATCTGATGGCTGTGGAATGCGGCCTGGAGATAGTTTACCAACAGGTGCATCTTTGATTGGTCCATGTGAGTTGTTTCTAATTAATGACCAATCACAGCCTGCAGTGCAGGACTCTCTGTCTGTCACAGGTTTTTGTTTTTCATTCTTTTCTACATTTCTGTCTGTATTTTTTCTCCATTCTTTTAGTATAGCTTTAGTATAGCATTTTAATATAATATCATAAAATAAGAAAACAGCCTTCTGAAACATGGACTCAAGATTCTCATCTCTTCCCTCGTCCTGGGGACCCTCAAACACAACAGGGATCCTGCTGTGGGATCCTCACAGCCCATTTGCCTGGAGCCCGGTTTGCCTGGGCACAGCTGCAGCAGGAAGCAGGGAATGAATTCCATGTCTCACTTGGCTGGCACATGCAGATTTTGCTTTCGCTATCAAACTCAGCCCAGCAGTTCCCTCACATCTGTGCTCCAGATTCTCTCCTCGTCCCACAGGGGAGGGAACTGTGGCCACACCGAGCACCAGTGGTCCCTGTCTCTGGCTGGCAGGGCTGGCATCCTCGCTCCTCAGCCCCGCCACATATGTCACTCCTGTGTCACTCCCTGCCCGGCCCCGGCGGGGACATGGGAAATCCCGGCCCCAGCACATCCGGCAGAGCCTCACTCTGCAGCTGGCCTGGCCTCCCCCTTCCCCTCCGCACTCCTGGCCCTCGGCAGCGCCCGGTCCTCGGGGCTGGGGCCCCTCAAGGATGGGAAAAAAAGCTGCTTTTCCCTCTCCCCACCAACATCGCACTCCTGCCAAGGCACCGCACTCGTAAGAGTTCAGATATCCCACTCACAAACACAGTGGATATTTGTTGCAGGATTCCTGGCACTGAGCCTCTGGTGAATCATTTTCTGCTCTGCTTTTTTCCTGGAAAACACGGGCTCCGTGCTGCAATTGGAATCTGCTGCCTGCCCAGCACTAGGCAGCTGCCCAGCCCAGGCACACTGCAGGTGCAAAGGGCATCCCAAGAGGAACACAAAACTGCCACAACATGCCTTCCTTCACAGCTTTTTCCCTGCAACCAGCCCTAGCCCTATGCTGATTTCCTGCCTAGGGCTAGGGTTAGGCCTAGGCTTAGGGTTTGGGTTAGGGTTTTGAGAACTGTTATGAAAAAAAAGTTATCTGTTTTTGTTTAAGGTTACAGAGCTAAAACCGGTTGCTGTTAAGTTAGCTTCATTTTTGAGAGTTCTTCTTCAATTGCCCGCTAATGGTTGGTGATTTAGCCATTGTCCTCCTGATGCTTGCCAGGGAACAACACCTGAACACGGCAGCACCAGGAGAATAGGAGTGGCCTGAGACCTCGTATGCAGATGAGAAATGCATTGCTCCAAATCTTCCCGTTTTCCAGGAAAACCCCTAAAAACAACGAGACGACATGGAATTAGGGGACTCTAGTTGATGTCTGAGGACGGGCGCGCAGTCCAGTACCTGCTTGGATCCTTTTTGCTTCTCACCCTGACCTCAAAGGATGTTCAGTAAGGAGGGGACCTGAAGTGTTGGACTGAAAAGCAGGAATCTGCGAATCTCCCGTGAGGACGCAGTCCCCAGCTCTGCCTGCAGACCAGCGGACAGAGCTGCATCCCCCTCCTCCTCCGTGCCACTCTTGGGGACAGCGGCGGTGTGGGCGCGACCCGTCGATTTCTCCCCACCTGAGCTGAATCTCTTTAATAAAGGCATTAAAAAGGAGAAAGATCTCCTGCCCATTTATTTCAAGAACCACAAAGCCCAGGGCTCCAGGCACACTGCAGCTGCAAAGGGCATCCCAAGGGGAACACAAAATGGGACACAGCCAATGGAACTCAGGCCAACAAAGGCCATTGCTCCAAGATCCCCTCTTCCTCCTTCCTGTTTTTATCAACAGTTTGCAGCACAAATCCAAAGGGCAGCCCCACACAAGCCAACACGGAAAAAATTGACCCTTTCACAGCCCAAAACAGTCACAGGCATAACCTCCCTCCCTCCCTCCCTCCCTCCCTCCCACCTCTGACCACTCCAGGCTGCCATGGACAGCCCCCCGCAGCCCACCTGCCATCGAGCCCACCTCCAGAACGAGGCATTACTTTGTCCTGGCGTGCACGTGCAGTGGAAAGCATTCCCATCCACATGGTGTTTCCACTATCTATACAGACAAAAACCCAAAGAAATCCTCATTCACCGGTCTGAAATGACACTTAAGAATTACAATTCTTAGTATTAGATCTCCTAGCAGTTCTTGGGTTCTTGATCCCTTCGCCTTCCATGCTAATTTGTTCCTCATTTTTCGGGACTCTCAACGATTAATTTCCCAGACAGGGAGGTGGTGTTGGTGAATGGTCTCGAATGGTCGCTAATATTCGCTAATGTTCCTTATTGTTCGCTAACGGTCTTCTGGCTTTTCCCAGTCTGTGGATGCTCAGATCATCTGCCCTCTCCCGGCGAGCAGAATCTTTCGAAGAAATACGTAGAATTCCCCTCCCTCTTGGCACAGACGAACAAACTCCCGACTAATGCTACATTAAAATAATTAAAATTTATATAATTTCCAACATCACCAACACCCCACAAGTCCCCTCGGAGTCCTCAGGGTTCCCCCAAGTCCCTTTAAACCCCCCACGGGTCCCCAGAGCTGCCCTGCACCCCCAGGCTGCGTGGGGTGGGGGTCCCCGAGGGCCGTGCCCCCTCCTTCTGCGGGGCGGTGCGGGGCCGGTCCCCCGCCCTGAGCGCGCTCCGTTCCCGTTCCAGGCGCTCATTCCCGGTCATGGAGCCCAAGCAGGCGGACGTGTCCATCCCACTGCAGTCCTCCGGGTGGGGGACGGCCGCCCCCGGCCTCCGCTCTGACCCGCAGCCCCGGGACTACGTGCTCTGGTCGGTGTTCAATGTGCTGCTGTGCTGCGCGCTGGGCGGGCTGGGCTGCCTCGGCTTGCCCCCGCTCGTCTTCTCCATCAAGGTGAGGGAGGGGCCGGGGACCCCCGGATTTAACCCTGATTGGCCCCGGGACTCCCACCCAGGCTGACCCCCAGCCAGCCCCTCCCAGGGCTTCCCTCCCCCGACCGAGCCCGGCACGGGACCCCCGACGTGTCCCGGCTCCCTCCCCAACCCCGGACCTCCCACCCAACCGACCCGGGACCCCCAGCCCTCCCTGACACCCCCCGCTCCTCTCCCTCCAAACGCCTCTCCCGTCCCGGATCCCCAGATCCCCTCTCCCATCCCGGTCCCCAATCTGGTGTCCCATCCCCGATGCCAGCCCACCCTGGGACCCCCAAAGCCGTGTGCCCCCCCGACCCTGTACCCGCCGAGTGCCGGGACCGCGGGGCCCCCAGGGTGGCCTCGCCCCGTGTGACACGTCCCTGGGGTCCCAGCACAACGCGGGGGGCTGGCCCCCAGCCGGTGCCCCACACACCCCGAGCCCCCCGCTTGCCCCCCAGGCCCGTGACTGTAAGGTGCTGGGGGACCTGGAAGGTGCCCGGCGTCACAGCGACCGCGCCAGGGTGGCGAACATCGTCTGCTCCGTGGTGGTCGCCGTCGCCTTGGTGATCTTCATCATCATCGCCGCCATCGCCATATCCACACTCAGGGCCAGCTGACCAGCGCCTGGCCCCACCAGCCGGGTGCTCCCCCCTCCTCCTGCCCCCAAAATGTGCCCGGGAGGGGCGCGGGGGCGAAGGGAGTGAGCCCGGTCCCCCCGCTGCCCGCAGCGCCCGTGTCCCCGCGCGGCCCCGGGAGGGGACGGGGCGGCCAGGCTGGGGCGTGGGGACAGGGGACAGCCCCCACCCCCCTTTGCTCTGCTCACACGCCTCTGGCACCTGTGACACACCTGTCCGTCACCGCTGCCACCAATGAAGCTCGTCCCGCCAAAGCCCCTCGCTGTCACCTCATTCACGGCGGGATGTCGCAGAGAGTCCTCGGGAATCTTTGTGGCGTCCTCCTCCTCCTCTTCCTCCTGCTCCTCTCCCTGCCTCCATCCTGCCGCGGAGCAGGGCGCTTCCAGCCCAAATCCCAGGGAAGTTTCTTCCCAACATCTTGGATATTATAGATACATATTATAATATTGGCTTTTCGCAAATATTAAAATGGATTTTATACGTGTAGTATTAAAGTAACTTTGTTATAAAGATATAGTTTTTATTTTTGTTGTTAATTAAGCTTGGTCATAGTAGTAAAACAGCTAATATAAGCGTGCTTGTGTTAAAATGCCTGCTTAGATGAGATAACATCCAATAAACACATAAAAAAGACGCTTACAGATACACCAGCTATCAACACTCACCATCTGAAGACAGTGTGGGCCAGAAGCAGCACTAAAACTAGTAATGAAAAAACACTACAACCACAACCAAAAAATACACATGCTCTAAAAAAAGTAAAACCAAAAAAGTCAGACTGAACAATTCTTAATATATGTAAACTAGTTTAAGAAAGAAGTTAACTATACACAAGAGTCTATAAATATACAACAGGCTGATATAAGAAAGTGTTTAAGAAGTGTCTCCGAAGATAACAGCGTGCTCTTAACTGAGTACCACGACACGCCCAGTCTTAATCTTTACTCTGTGTTCCTTATCTCCTACTATCCTTTACTAAACTTTTACAATTTTCACAAGAGAGTAAAAATGTTTTTCGCATTGGAGATGGTAGAAGGAAATTAAAGCCCCTCCGTGCGTTCTGGCAGCCCACGCCCCCACCCTGCAGCCCTGTGCACCCCCGGCTCCCGGGGAGCCCCATGGATGCGGCTCTTCCACCTTTCCATATGAACTTCCCATTTCTTCCATCCCACAGCCCAAAAGTGCTGCCGAGGGGGGTCTGCCCCGCCCAGCTCACCTGGAGGCTGGGGTTGGAGGTACCTGTGCCAGCCAGCGCCCTGCAGGTCCTGGGCTGCGCCTTGGAGCGACCCTCCTGCGGTGCCAGAGTCACGCTGGAGCCCCCCGTGCTCCTCCTCATCCCGGGAGGAAGGCTGGCTATTAAAAGCCCGCGGGCTCGCCACCCCAGCCTTTCTCCCAGCCCGGCCTGCGGGACAACCACATCCCCCAGGGCTGTAATTTCCCCGGTTTATATTTAGCGGAGCGGGGATATAAAAGGGCGGCGGGCCGCGCTCCCGCCAGGCTGCCGGAGCCGCGGCTGTCCCTCCCGGTGCCCATGGACACCTCGTACCCCCGGGAGGAGCGGCCGCCCCCCAAGCGGGGGCCGCCCCCCGCCGCCCCCGCGCCCCGCGACCACCTGGTCTGGGCCATCTTCAACACCCTCTACATGAACTTCTGCTGCCTGGGCTTCGTGGCGCTCGCCTTCGCCGTCAAGGTACGGGACCGGCGGTACCGGAGCGCTCGGGGGCTCCGGGAGTCCCTCCCCACGCCAAGGAGGGATGCCCGGGGAGGCGGCGAGTGCTTGGGAAAACTCCGGGAGGGATGGGGCGGCCGATCCCAACACTCCCCGCAGGGAGAATCCCTGCCGCTGGTGAATCCTCCCTGCTTTTCCTGCCACTGATTCCGGAGGCTGTGGGACAGCCGTGGATAACCACAGTCCCCTGCCCACCACCCGAGAAGCACTGCTTGATCCTAAAAAGCGCCATGGGGGCTGTGATTTCACCACCCCGCTCCTGCAGGAGCAGCTCCAGCTGTGGAAAAATGGGAACAAGCAGGGACCAGAGTCAGAGATGCTCTGGAGAAAGCAGGAGGGAAAATCCCAGCTCCAGCTGGGCTAGACTGGGATAGAAAAATGGGGACAAGCAGGAGCTGGAGCCAGAGAGCCTCTGGATGGAGCAGGAAAGAAAACACAAGTGGGAAAGAATGCAGGGCTGGAGGGGAGCAGGAGCAGCCTGGGATGGATGGATGGATGGATGGATGGATGGATGGATGGATGGATGGATGGATGGATGGATTGTAGGTTGCAAGGGGGACAAAGCCCTGGAGCAGGATGGGGCTGCAGAAAGGGGGTGCAGGAAGGGCTGCAAGAGGGGGCTGAGGGAAGGGGCTGAAGGAAGGGGATGAGGGAAGGGGATGAGGGAAGGGGCTGAAGGAAGGGTCTCTCCTCGGCTGTTGCAGGCTCGGGACAGGAAAGTGTCCGGGGACCTGGAAGCTGCCCGGCACTTCAGCTCCAAGGCGCGGTGCTACAACGCCCTGGCCACGGCGGGCAGCGTGGTGTTGCCACTGCTGCTCGGTGCCCTCATTGTCACCGGGGTCATCCACCTCTCCAAGCTGGCCCAGGAGTCCGTCGGATTCTTCACCTACCAGTTCAGCGGGAGCGACGACGAGGAGCAGTGAGCCAGGGTGAGGGGCTGCTGGCACCTCCTCTGCGCCGCTGGTGGCCCCCCAAAAGGCCACCACCCCTGTCTGCCACCCCCGCTCCCCAGCCCCAGTTATTTTTGTTTATCCTCTGGGTTTTTTTACCTTCCCTTATCCCGTGTGGAGCCCCAACTTCCATGGTCGCTATTTAAATCATTAAAAGCTTCACACAGCGCGAGTTTCTGCCTGTGGAAAGGGGCAGGGGGGTGCCAAAGGGAAAACATAAATTGGGATTTTTGGCTCTGATGGGGCTCCTGGCAGCCAGGAGACACCATTGTTCCCACAGCCTTTAGGGCCACCTTTGGCCCCAGGACTGAGGAGGGGAGGAAGTAGAGACGGCCCTGGGCCTCTGGGATGAAGCAAAGGGGGGGTCCCAGATGGAGCTGAGACCTGCAAACTCATGACAGCAACACAGACATCCCCAGCCAGTCCAGCCAGGACAGGGGGGACTTGGCAAGCACTCCCACTGCTCCCTGCTCTCCGTGCCTGGGCTGGAGACAGCTCATTTTGGGACTAAAGGATCCCTTTTTTGAGCTAAACCCCCTTTACTGCCAACTAGCCCTGGTTTACAGCGGGGCTGTATCCCGGCCCCATCCCAATCCCGGTGCAGTGCACAGGGCTGGGGACAGCATGGTCCCTTTGTCGTGCCAAGAGCTGCCGCTAATTAGGGGCTGGCGGCTCTGATGAGGCCGGAGCAAGACCCGAGTAATTACACTAATTACACGGCAGCGGGAGAGTCCCTGCTCCAGCCCTAAGCATTCCCAGATGCTTCGGGGCACGGAGCAGCCGCGGGGCTTTTTATAAACCGGGCCGAGATTCCTGGGGCTGGCTTGGCCAGGACAGACCCCTCGGGGCAGGGAACGCCTCCGGCATTCCCTGCTCCCACCCAGGGCTGCTCCGCACGGGGACAGGGAGGGTGGGGAGGGGAGGAGGATGGGCAGCCCAGAGAGAGGGGCTGGGGGTACCGTGCCCACCCTGTGCAGGCACGGGAACTCCTTGGGATGCCTGGAACACCAAAAACTGTGTCCCAGAGCAAAGCCACAGCAGCTCTTTGCTCGCCCCGAGGCTGCTCAGGCACGGAAAACGCTGCCCTTGTCACCATCTGACAGGATAACACTACGGATCTCTGGTGTCCAAGCCTCCTGCAGCCCTTCAGACGCCAAGTGAGAAAGGGTTTAACTCCAGAACTGCTTGAAAAGAGTGGGAATAATGTAGATAAGGGTTTAAAAACATGCGAGGGCTGTTACACACCAAATGACAGGAGTGGAGATGTGTGCTGCCCACACGGGGTTAAAAGGCTTTCAGCTGCATATTTTGGAGTAATATTTAGTGCCAAAACATCATTCATCTGGTGGAACAGCACTGGCTGAGCCTCCACAGCCCTTTGAGCCCACAGAGCAACACATGGGGAAGGCAAGGACCAGGGCAGGACATGCTGGAGGAGCTGGAGTCAGGATCCTGGAGTCAGGAATGGGCCTCCTTACAAACACAAACATGTTGAGAGCATAAACAACTCCTGGGTGTCCAGCAAACACAATTGAAATGATCATTTTCAGGCGTGGTTTCCTCTCCTGCGCCGAGTAAGAGATGTGTGGAGGGGAGTGGGGGGCTCAGACGTGGTGACAGCTCCAGCCATGGTGACAGCTCCAGCCGTGGTGACAGCTCCAGCCACTGGCCCCCTGGGCCACAAGGACAGGTGGCACACACAGTCCTGGGGGCAAAGGCCTCCTGGCACAGCCTGGCACCCCCTTTCCACCCACTGTTACCTTCCCCCTGCAGCAGCATCCCAGCTCTGCTGCTCCAGAGGGCAGCACCCGGATCAGGCAGGCTTTAGGGGGTCCTGCTGGGCGACCTCTGGATCCATCCAGGGGCTGTGGGGAAGGACACACTCTGCCCTGCAACAGAAAAGCTTTGTGTGAGATATGGGAATGGTTCCTTGCCCAAATTATTGCCGGGAGCAGACGCAGGCCACACCTTCTCCCAGGGGAAAGCGCAGTCCCGACTCCAGCACAGCTTCCAGCGGAGATGCCGGAGGGTCCCGGGAGGTCTCAGTCACTTCCATCCTGATCTCCTCCCCGGTGATGGTGACCTCCAGTTTGTTGCCCAAGTAGGAGATGCTGGAGACTTCCAGCTTGGTGATACCATCGGGAAAGGCAGGATCGAAGAGGAGGCCGGACCTCGTGATCCTGGAAAGGCAGGAGCGCGTCAGGGTGGGAAGAGCAGGAGCCACAGAGGAGCCCAGCTCGGGGTCAGGGAGCAGCCACCTCTCTGGGCATCACCCCCTCATGCACACCAGAGGGGTCTGGAAGGGTCCTCGGTGCTTCCAAGGCTCTCTGGGCAAATCCTGAACACACTGATGGAGCACCTGGTGAGGAACTACCGGGGCCGTGATCCCACAGCCCACCCCAGACATTCCCATCCCATCCCAGCTCCACAGCTGGGGCCGGGGCTTTCCATGAGGTCAGCTTTCATAAGTAAAAAATGCAGCGCAGTTCCCTGCTGCGGCTCAGAGCTTGGCTCAGCAGCAGCCGTGCTGGCAGAGCTTGGGGAATGCCCTGCTCCTCCTCTCAGAGCAGGGGACCCTCAGCTCCCACAGGATGCAGGGCTGGAAGCTCGGCAGGGCTGCTCTGGATGAAATGCAGGCACAGAGAGCTCCCAAGGCTCAGAGATGGAGATGGATGCGGTGTCTGACCTAAGCCTTGGAGAAGGCTTGAAGGTTTAGAACAGAAAAGTGAAACAGACACAAAGTAAGAATAAAGATTTCTAGTTCAAGCAGAAATATGTTTTAAGCAGGTAGAAATAGGCCTCATGGAAGTGAATAAATATGTTAAGCAAGACAGCAGAAAATTTTAAAGTCTAGCAATATAACTTGTTATAGAGTTGGCAAAAAGTAGAAGCTCCAGCAATTAGTGTCTGTAGAGTTGTGTGACTGGATAAAAAGAAGCACATTGCAGCAGCATGGTGTAAAATGCAGCAATGACTTGTAGCAATTTGCTATCATTTGTAGCAATGATGGCAAATTAATGATCAGTTTGTGAAGATCCTAGCGAGCTTTGTAGAAGTAGCTGATTAAGACATGTAGAAGATATGATAAGAAATATATTATAAGAAGTATATAAAAGACATTGCCAATAAAATTAAAACTGCTTCTGATGTGATGGCACTGAATGTAGGTCTCAGCCTTCCAAGAGACTGATTTTGCAATAAATAAACCATCTTTTAATCACCTCATCAGTGTGCTCTGTATCCCCAGCAGTGCTCCTTCCCCAGAAACAATGGAACAAACATCCCAGCTCTCCCTCCAGCCCTGAGCCAAAGCCAAGCTGCCTGTGTGGGCGTTGGCTTTGGGTGAGGAAAAACAACGGCCCCTCTTGTCCCCGACCCAAACCCCGGCGCACCAGAGCTCCAGAAGGCTGAGAGGGCTTCAGGGGCTGCAGGGGCCTCAGGGGAGGTTTGGGGGCCTGGGGAGCCCCAGCACTGCACAGGATCCATGTCCCACGGCGGGAAAGGCGGGAGGGTGGCTGCGCTGTGTCACTGCCACCTCTGGAATGTGGCCAGAGCCCCAAGGCTGTGGCTTGAGCCTGTGCCACGAGGGGCCTGACCCGGCACACACTGGGCACCTGGAGACCTCCCAGTTTGGCCAAAGCCCAGATTTCCAGCTGGGAATAGGGCAGCTCACACCCAGCTCCGCCAGGGAATGGGGCGGGTTTCCCAGTGGCTCTGGCCACACACGTGGAGTGAAAACACATGGTTAGGGCTGGAAGTTTTCACTGGGAATCAAAAGGCTTGATCCAGCCTCAATTAAACCAGGAATAGGCTGAAGAGACGGCGGCTCCAGGGTGGAAACAACCACAGCTCTGAAATTACATGAGCAGCTCCATGTTTTCCCAGGATATTTTAAAGCTGAGGCGATGCCTGCTCAGCACTTCACTCCAGGGAGGCTCCCGGAGCCCCGTGTGAGCAGGGAGGCCACGGGGAGGCTGCAGGAGGTGTTTCCTCACCACATCCAAAGGAGACAGGAGGATGCTGCTGCTGAAGCAGAGAACAGGCTTAGGGAATGGCATTTTGCTTTCCCAAATGCGACCTGTCACGAGCCTCTTACCTGTTCCCAACTTCGCCCCAGCCAGACAGGGACATTTCAAGGGACAAGTGGCTGCTCGGGAGTTAAAAGTGACACAGCAGGTCTCACCTGAACCCCGTGAAGCCAAAGAGGACGACCTGCAGGAATCCACCCATCCCTGTCAGGAAGTTCACAGCTCCCGACCCATCCGAGTTCTCCACCCAGACCTGACCAGCCGGAGAAAGAGATGATGCAGGAATTGATTTGGGATGCTCCAGGCAGTTCTGTGGATTTCAATCCTGTTGTCACCTGCCTGGGAGCAGGAGGGATCTGCAGCCCCTCCACTCACCTTGAAAGGCTCCGTGATGTTGCTGAAGCACTTTTCCAGCTGGCTCCAGGCTCTCTGCAGCTCCTTCAGCTCCAGCCAGCCCACGGCAAACATGCTCTGCCGGAGGGGGAACGGTGAGAGCGCGGGGGAGCAGCACCACCTCCCCACCCCTCCGTCCAGAGTGAGCATTTCCAGGGCACATCCCAGCCCTGCAGTGCTCCCTGGATGGAGCACCCCGTCCCAGGGGTGAATCCCAGGCTGGGCTCTGCCCTCTCCTCACCCAGGTCATGGCTGGCCCGGCCGGGTCGGTGATGGGCTCGTACATCTCCAGGTCGTTCCTCCGGACCTCGGCACTCATGGGATGCATCAGTGGGAACCCCAGCAGGACCACATCTGCCTGTTTCACCGGCTCACCTGGGGACAGGGCTGCTCAGACAGTTCCCGAATTTCCTAAGTTTTGGAGCCCACTGATGAGAAACAATCCAGTGAGGCAGGAAAACCACCCCAGCCCAGCTTGTTGCACTGCGGCAATAGCAGGGACTCCCCCTCTGCCATCCCCAGGTCTGAACCAGTTGGAATTCTGATCCTTCTGGGGTTAAAAGTATGATCCATGGGCTGAGCCACCTCCATGGGCTGCTGCCACTGCCTCCCCGCTAACCTGGGCTGTAGCCATCGTACTCAGGGTGATATTTCCTCTCCTCATCAAAGGGCACTTTGATTTTCCTGGCACGGTCCTCCCACTCCTCTGGCGCTGGGAGCAGCAGGTCCCGAGCCAAGTCAGTGGCAAAATTTAAGCTGGAAAGAAGGAAGAACAAGGTTTTATGTCAGGGATGGGTGGTGGTGAGAGGAGAGAGGGGACAGAAGGATTTGCAAGAAAAAGCTGCTGTGGGAGAACAAGGGGCAGAGATTGAGCCAGGGCTAACAGCTTCCATCACGGAGCTGGGAGCTCCTTTCCCTGGCTGTGGGTGTCTCCAGCCGGCCAACGGCACAGACACCCCATGGAATGCCAAGGGAGAAGCCCTGCTGTGACTGGAGATCCCTCTCAGCCTCACGTGGGCACTGAACAGGTTGGAGGAGCTGGGGGAGCCCCCACTCCTCCTCTGCCTGCAGAGGGGTGTGGGGAGCGGGAGGAAGGATCCCCTCGGGAGCCCCACTGCTCCCATCCCTGCAGAGTGGGAGAGCAGAGAGCCAGGCTGTGCTCCCAGGAGCCGTTCCAAACGTTACCTGCGCCGGGCCACGGCGTTGGTGTAAGCAGAGTTATCCACCTGGCTGTGGTACTCGTCTGGGGGCATGACACCTGCGGGGACACCAGGGGACACTTGGCACCCCAGCACACCCAGGGGCTGCCGTGGCTCTGCGCCCCTCCTCGGGGGCACAGCTGGGGGAAGGGGACCCTGCTGCCCATCCGGATCCTGCTGGCAGATCCCACACATCCAGCAGGATGCTCAGTGGAGAACATGCACGGTGCTGTGTGGGAAATGGAAAGATAGAAACTTCCACAGACTCAAAAAGGTTTAATTTGCAGCCTTGGAAGGAGCTTGGAGAGATGTAAAAATAAAGTATGCAGACATTAAATAGAAAAATCATAAACTTATGCTTCTACAGTTATAAGTAAGAATATGCCTTAAGTAAGTAAGAAACCATTGATAAGATGGTGAAGGGTTTATAACCTAAGAGTGTAATTGTATAGAACAAGTTAAGAGTTTAGATGTTACAACAGAGGTGTGTGCATACATGTAATAACAGCCTGTTGGTTAAAAGTATCCACATTGCAGTAAAAGTAAAGGTGAGAGGTTAGAAAAGCAAAGCATACTTTGTAGCGACAGTCCATTGGATCACAAAGTTATATATTGTCTTGTAACAAAGAACTTTAGACTATCTTGAGCTATGGCCAGCTGCTTGCCGTCTCAAAATCTCACAGACTCTGAGACTGATGTTTATTTAAACAGTAAATTATCTTTAGTCCTTTAAACTTTTAGTCCCCTCCCTTTAATTAATGTGAGGACAGTGACAGTGCTGAAGCAGGAACAGCCGAGGCAGGCACCTCATCCTCAGGGCATCCTGAAGGGGACCTTCAAGTCATGGAATCCCAGGGCGGCTTGGGTCGCCCCATCCAATTCCACACCCCTGCCATGGGCAGGGACACCTTCCACTAGACCAGGTGGCTCCAAACCTCTGCTTTCCACCCCGTTCCCATGGCAGAGGTACCTCTGATGTGGAAGAGCTGCTCCTCCTCACTCCACACCATCCTGCTGCACCAGTACTGAGCCACGGCTTCCACCAGCTCCCAGCCCCCCTCCTCCCGGAACAGCTTCTGGTCCTGGGGGAAGAACAGGGGCATGAGGGAGACTCCACCAGACCCAAAGTCAGCAGGAGGATGGAGAGGAGCTCTGAGGAGATGGAGGAAGCAGGAGGAAAGACTGGCCTGGTTTGAGCCAACAGGATGCTGAGACGCCCACAGGAGCAAGGACAGAGCAGGCAGGGCTGCAGGAGGGAGCCTGCGGAGCAGAGAGAGCAGAGTTCCTCAGGGAAGGGACAGTGACAGTCTCCAGGTGTCCTGCCACCGGGCCATCAGGTGGAGCACCCTCCCTTTACCTGCGTGGTGCAGTAATACTGCTCGAAGGCCATCAGGACATCCCCGGTGACGTGGATTTCCTGGGCTCCGTAAATCTCCTCAGGACACACTTCCCGGCCAGTGGCTGCGCTCTCCCACGGGAACTTCGCGCCCTGCCGAGAGAAGGCATCCATGGGCACAACACCCTGTGCTGTGTCCCGCTGAAACAGCCGGGATTGCCCTGGGGACAGGAGCTGCTGCCACCCCAGCCCGGTGTCCCTGGGGACAGGGGCTGGTGCCACCCCCAGCCCGGTGTCCCTGGGGACAGGGGCTGGTGCCACCCCCAGCCCGGGATTGTCCTGGGGACAGGGGTTGGTGCCACCCCCAGCCCGGTGTCCCTGGGGACAGCAGCTGCTGCCACCCCAGTCTGGGATTGCCCTGGGGACAGAAGCTGGTGCCACCCCAGCCCGGTGTCCCTGGGGACAGGGGCTGGTGCCACCCCCAGCCCGGGATTTCCTGGGGAGAGGGGCTGGTGCCACCCCCGCCCGGTGTCCCTGTCGCACCTCGTAGCCCTGCTCCCGCGCGTTGCGCCTGGCGCCCTCCAGCGTGCGGATGCGGTACTGCAGGATGGCGCGGGCAGCCTCGGGATAGAGCAGCAGGATATTCGGGAACATCCAGGTGTCCTGCGGGGCCGCGCGCCGGGATTGGCTCGGGGCAAGCATCCAAAATGCTCCCGCCCTTCAAGTACACCCTCATCCCGAAGAGGACGGAGTCTTGTCCATTCCTATTGAAGGACAGCCTTCTCCATCCCGATGGAAGGATGGAGTCTCCTCCATCCCACTCGCCGCGCCAAGCCCCCGTCAGGTCGGCACGGCCCCCCTCACCTGGTCCCAGAAGACGTGTCCCCAGTAATCCTCGCCGCGGGTGCCGTTGGACAAGCCGCCGGGGCTGATGCCGTGGAACGGGACTGCGGGGCTGTCCCGGGGCGGCACGGCGCTCAGCAGGTAGTAGAGGCAGCCGTGCAGCGCCTGGCGCAGCGCCGGGGGCCCGTCCAGCTGCACGGAGCATTCCCGGCGCAGCGCGGCCCAGGCGCGGACGTGGGAGCGGAGCAGGGAGCCCGCGGCCAGCAGGGACAGCCCCGCGCTGTAGCTGCGCTTCGCCTCCTCCTCGCTGCCGGCCACCGCCGTCAGGAACTGCCAGCAGCGCTCCCGCTCCTCCCCGCCCAGCGTCAGCCGCTGCGGGATGGGGGTCCACAGCATGTGGACGGTGGGACGGGGGCCCCCCTCCACCTCGGGAACCAGCGTCTGCCCGTAGATGTAGCTGTGGGAGACGGGAAGCGACTGGGGAAGGTGTTTCTTCCCAATGTCCCATCTCACCCTGCCCTCTGGCAGTGGGAAGCCATCACAGATGGTCTCTGGTCCCAGGAATCCTGTTCTAGAGGTAATCTCCTACAAATCTCCTGTTTTCCCCAACCTCATTTCTTTGGAATCACATGTAGCCCCCATCACCTCCACTGCCCTCACACATCAGTGTGAGGCATAATCCTGGAGTGGCAAGCAATACCAATGTTTCTATGCTTAATTTCAAGGGGTTTTTTTTTATACACCTGCCAGGACAGAGCAGGTGTGAGAAGCCTCCACACCCCTCACCATTCCAGCCCCACGCCCCTCACCATTCCACCCCTACATCCCTCACCATTCCAGCCCCACATCCCTCACCATTCCAGCCCCACACCCCTCACCATTCCAGCCCCACACTCCTCACCATTCCAGCCCTACATCCCCTCACCATTCCAGCCCCGTTCCAGCCTTACACCTGCAGTTTATTCCCCAGGGGAGAGCAGGGCACTGCGCCACAGCCCATGGAGGGTGGGCTCAGCGCAGGGACCCCCATTCCCCACTCACTGTGCTCCCTGGAAGTCTGGGCCCGGGGTCAAGTGCAGGTCCTGGCTCTGCGGCACGAACAGGCTCTGGAGCTGGACGGTGATGGGATGTGTGGAGCCATCCAAGCGCCGGATGGTGACGCTGCAGGCCATCAGGTGCACCAGGGAGTGGTGGGCGTACAGCTGCTGGGTGGCCGTGTAGCCAGGGGACTGAATCGTGTGGCTGAAGGTCCCTGCAAGCACAGCCAGCGCCACCAGCCTTTGGAAACACTTGGATCCTGCCCTATCTACCGGTTCCTACTGACCAAAAAATTGCTTTTCCCACGATCAGATCCAGTTGTGGACTGGAGAACACTGCTGACAAGGGAGCCTGGCCAAGCTGCTGAGGGATGGTCTGTGCCATCAAACATTTTACCAAGCTCTGTGATTAAAGAGGGTCTGCCGAGCCTGGCCCCAGCAGGGATAGAGCTAGAGCCTGAAAATCACTTATTCCCACAAAAAAGGGGGATTTTCCGCGTGTTCCAGAGGAACAGCACCCCGAGGCGAACGGAGAAGGAAGATGTGACTGAGGAGAAGAGGCAGCAGAAGCAGAGAGAATCGAGGCTGCGGCAGAGCCAGGGGCAAGGTGCCGCTCCCTGCTCACCTGTCCAGGTGTTGAGGGTGAAGCTGTGCGCCGGGCTGCGGGCGCCGGGCGCTGCCATGCGCAGCCCCAGCGGGCTGGGGACATCGGCGCGGTGCGTGTCCCCCGCGGCGCCGCTGTACACGCCGGCGGCGTGCAGGATGTCCCGGAACACGCGGGTGCCCAGGAAGGCGTTGGTGACCGTGGGCAGCAGCCGCGGGTCCCCGGGCAGGGCGGTGGCCGTGAACACGCCGGGGCCGCCCTCGCCATCGGCCATCGCCGCCGGCCTCTCCTGCGGAGCCGCAGGGATGGGACGAAAGCTGAGGGGACAAAGGCAGCTCCCTGTCACTCCTCCGCCTGCCGCCAGCGGTCTCTGCCCCTTTTGGTGTCCCCTCTGATCACCTCTAGCGGTTTTCCCCCATCCCACCTTCCTCCCAGCCCCGGGGTGCATCCCCTCCGCTCCCTCGCCCCATCTCCAGCTGTCCCAAATCCTGACGGATGAAGGATGAAGCTCACAGGCTTCATCACTTCTCAGCCTCCTTCCTCCTCCTCTTCTGCTGCCGGGATGGGGTTGCACCAGTTTCTCCCAACACACACAACCACCTTCCCCATCTGGCCTCCTCTTCCTCCTAGTGCTGTTCCGTGACAATCTGAACAGTTCCTGATACTTCCCCCTCTGCCAGCTCACTGCACCCCTCTGTTCCCCCTCACTCCCACATCTCCAGCTCAGCCTCCTGGGCAGGACCTTTCTATTCCACTGATTTATACCTAAAACTATATTTACGTGTACAAACATATATATAAATACAGACTGAAGATATGTACAGATACAGACATGCGTAAGCAGCCCCTGACAAAAGGCAGCTGCAGCTGGCTCCTGGCAATGCCGGGCGCAGGAAAAACACAGGAATGACGAAATGAGGCTCTGAGAGACTCTGAGCTGAGCTGGCAATCCAGCCGGGGTGACACGGGGCAAGGAGGGTGCCTAGCCCCCAGATCCCTCCCTGACAGCAGCCGGATGCTGGAACGCTCAAGCTCAGCTTGGTTTCGTCACTGAGACTGAGCTGGGAGGAAAATCCTGCCTTCGGGAAAGTGAAAAATCCCGACCCAGCCCAAGCCCCAGGGTGAGGAAGGGAGGAGGTGCGTCTTGCCTTCTGTCCCGAGGCTGAGCCTGTGCAGGCGGAGAGAGGCTGCTCCAGGGAAGGACGGAAGTTGCCCAACCGAGAAAGAAGGAAGGAAATAGCCCGAGAAAAAAGGGAGAAAAAAGGTTTTTTTTTTTTTTTTTTTTTTTTTTTTTTTGGTCTCCTTAAAAAGAAATAGTTGGAAAAATGATCCTGGACACGCAGGTTTTCGTCCAGCTGAGCACCCGCGGAGGGAGCGCGGCAGTCCTGGGGCTGCCCTGTGCCTGGGAAGGAGGAACCGAAAGAGGAAAACCGAGCTGGATGAGCTATGATCCCAAAGCTGCTGGCAGAGAGCCGGGTCAGCAGCACGCCCCACTGACCTCCCGTGTCCCCCGCCACACTCTGGCCCTTCCCCTCGCCTGTTTCCAGGAAGGACAAAAATTCCATCTGGACTTTGGCTTTGGCATGCCTTTCCCAGCCCCTTCCAGCTGGTCCCATCCTGGTGGGTCAGGGATCCAGGGCTGGAGCTGCAGCCAGGGCCACCAGCCGCTCCAAGCAGCCTCCCGGTGCTCACCGGGATCCAGCACTTCCAGGATTGGCATAACACATCTGTCCTGCACTGTAAATCCATGGAAAAGCCCCCTGGAGCCTGGCTGGGTCGGTCCTGCAGCTGCCAATTACCCAGTGACGCCTTGGGGACACCCTGGCAAAGGGCAGAGCCAGAGAAGCAACACTTCCAGCTCCCAGCTCTACTCCTTTGGTATTCCAGGGTCTAATCCCAACTGGGCCAGTAGGATTTCCCCTTTGGTTGGTTCCTCACAACCAGCTGCTGATCCAGCACAGGCTGAGACCATGGCAAGGGCAGGAATATCCATCCCCTGGAGAGTGGCTGGGCATCCACAGGGGTTGTGGGGCACTGGAATCCCCCTCCAGCAGCCACCAGCACACAGGGACAAGCTGTTCCTTCCCCAGCTGATCCCAGTGGCATGCACCCCACTTCCTTCCCTTTATCAGAGGAATTTGGAAATAACCTTTTCCAGTGAGCCCTTTCTCACTGGATGGTGTTTTGAGTGTTATGAAGTTTATAGAAGCCCACAGAAGAGGGGTCCAAGGAGAGAGGAGTTCTGCTCCAAAGGAAGAGTTTTGCCCTAAGGGAAAAAGCCCCTCCAAGGGGAGATCTCTGCTCTCCAGCAGAACATCTCAGTGTCCCCCTGTGCTGGCTGGGGACAGTTTTTGGTCTCAGAGTCCTGGGCAGTGCTAAGGGGAAAAAATCCAAAACCAATTAAGGATAGAAAAATTAAGCGGAGAGCGCTTTGGGAAAACCTGGCTGTGTCAGGCTGCTCCTCCCTGTGCCCTGGAGCTGTGCCAAGGAGTGGCAGGGGGGTGGTGGCAGCAGTGACAGTGACAAGCTGGGCAGCTGCAGAGCAAGGAGCAGCAGGATCGCCCTGAGAGCGCCATGAGGGGTTTCCAGAGGGGCTCCCAGCTCCTGGCAGCTGCACTCCGGATCAGCCGGGTCCCCCGGGCACAGATCCGCTCCCACCCCCCCGAGAACCCGCTCTCTCCCGGTGTGAGTATTCTGGGGGGCTGGAAAAGTGGGGACAGCCCGGTTGGAGGGGCCCAAACCCTCTGTGTCAGGGCTAAATTGCTTTGGAAGGGGGTGGAAGCAAAAAGGGAAGGGGAGGAAAAGAAGGAATGTGCCTTCAGGTTCCAGCCCACACCCCACGGTGTCCATGCCCTGCTCCCCCCCCCCACACCCAGCTCCTGCTTCTGTTTGATTTTGTCCTTTCAGCCCCTTTTTAAACCTTTGAGTTTGGGGGTCCCCTGCAGCCCAGGGCAAGGGGCAGCAGTGACACTGGTGGTCCCTCAGGGCCAGATCCAGACCCTGCCCCCCTATCCTGGGACAGTCACCCCAAAGGGGTGTCCCCATGGGCAAGGACAGGAACTGCTGTCACTGCAGAGCCCAAGGTCCCTCTGACAGTCCCCCTGTGGGGACAGTCCCCCCCAAACCAGACCCTCCCAGGCTGGGTGAAACAAGCTGGAAAAAATGAGCTTTCCACCAAAATGCTGCCTGATTCCCCCTCCACCCCTTTATTTGGGGTTTTCCCTCTGCTGCCTTTCCAAGGTCTTCAAGAAAGGAGCTGCAGGAACCTGGAGAGGCTTTACCCAGGCAAATAAATCAAAGGAAGGTGCCAGTGTGGGAGGTTAATGCTCTCCTGGTTGCAGTGGGGAGACGAGGGGCTGCTGCTGGCTGCAATTCCCGTCCCAAAGTCACCTGAAAGTCAGGAACACTGCAGGCCCCGGCCACAGCCTCAAGGTCATGCACTGCTCCAGTGTCCCAGAGAAGCAACAAACCTGGAGAGCACCAGCTCCATCCACTGCCAGTGGGAACAGCTCTGCTCCCCAAAAGCCCCAGAGCAGGTGCCAAGGACTGGGGAGAGCACAGGGAAGCGAGCTGGGTGTGGTGTTGGACGGCAGCAGCGCAGCCATCCCGGGAGCCCTGTGTGCCATGGCCGTGGTGCAGCCATCCCACTGATTCCTGCTCCTTGTCCCCCTCAGGAACAAGCCGTGGCCCTCACTGTGATGTTCTCGTCCTTCCTGCTGCCCACAGCCTGGGTCCTGAGCAATATCTACAACTACAGGAGCAGGCCCGAGTGAGGAGTGGCAGGAGCAGGCTGATCCCTGCTGAGAGCATCCCGAGGGAAGAGGCCTCGGGACCGAGCCTTGCCGGGGATGGAACCCCCCGAGCCTGCTCATTAAAATCCACCTTTGCATTCAACAAGGGCTCTCTGGGTTTGCTCCATCCTGTAGGGAAGGAACTGGATCTGTGCCCGCTGCCCGGATGGCAGCACTCCTGCAGGGGCTGCCAGCAGGTCCCAAAGGGAAGGCACATTCCCTCTGGAGCCTCTACCACCTGCAGCACTGCGTGCACCCCGTCACCTCTCCCAGCACAAGCAAAGAAGCCATTCCAAGGTAAATTCCTGGCAGGAAACCACTCAAAGGCTGAAAGTGACATGAAAGTGACAGGCTGGGGGCTGCATGCCTGCCCACTCCCTGCCCTGCAGGAAGGGTCTTTCCACCCACCACATCCCAAATTACCTGTGCCAGGGAAGCAGCCAGCACTTGGAAGGTTTGGGTAGTGAGGGGTGCTTCCAGGTGTCTTGGAAAAGCCTCTAGAGCTGTCACAGATCCACAGATCTGACTCTCATTCCCAGGAGCTGCTCAGAGCTTCACAGCCAGGACAGTGCTCCCACAGCACTGGAGCTGTTGGAATGCTCCTGGGAGAAGCTGGTAGTGCTTCCCACAGTGACATTCCAGGTTTTGGATGCTGATCTCAAGCAGCAGCAGCCCCACAACCCAGTGACTCCAGTGGAGTTTCCTTTATTCCCTAAAGTGTAGCGACAGCCCTGGGAATGACGATGAGATCTGACTGGGAAGGAGACTGTGCTCCTTTAAGCCTCCTCGTCTCCTCAGCAATGAAATAAAGGGAGTATTTTCCTGACTGGAACACCTACTTCTTCCACACGCTCTCCTGAAGTCAGCAAAAGTGGCACCAGGAGTAAGCCTTGGAAGACAGGATGCAGTAGGAATGGGACAAGTTAAACCAAGTGGCAGGGCAGGGAAGAGGCAGGCAGTGGGCACTGAACAACCCCCATCCAGGAGGGAATTTCAGCCAAAAGGGCCTGGAGAGCAGCAGGAGGAAGGTGAGCAGGTGCAGACTCCAGTAATTCCATTTTGTCCTGTTTTCCAAAGTTTGTCTCCCTTGTGTGAGGCATCTCTGCACCAGTCCAGCATCAGCCACATGCTCCCTTCTCTTTCTTGCTGGATTAACACCCTCAGTCAAGGCTGGAAAAGCACAAAAATTCCAGCAGTGCCATTTGCTAATGACACCAGAGAACCAAACCGGTGAGGAAAGCTCCTGAATCCCAGGATTGGCAAGGTCTGACCGTGGAAACATGTTTTTAAAGGAATCAGCAGCAGCTCAGCCGCCAGGGATGGAGATGACACAGAACTCCCAAAAAGGGAAGGCAGAGACGTTTATTCCGGCAATGCCACTGCACCTCACCTGAGCACAAAGCGCTGGTGAAAGACACCCACCCCCTCAAGTGTATGGACACACCCACTAACCAGGAATCCCGGGAAAAGCCTTGGATGGAGCAAACACTCCCTCTGCTGCAGAGGAGGAGGGGCGGAGGGAAGCAGGGCCAAGGGGGGAGGAAGAGGATTTGGGGAATGCTGCCTCAGGCTGCTGCAGGGGCAGGGGGAGAGGGCAGCGGGACAGGCTGTGTCCCCTAAGGCCAAGACCCCTTGGATCCTGCACTAGGACGCCACCCTCCCGCAGCAGCTGGAGGCAGGAGGGATCAGGAGTGATCCATCCCCCCAGAGCCTGGCCTGCCAGCAGAGGGAAAGCTTGGCTCGAGCACCAAAGGGTCACACAGCAAAAGGCCACGTCCTCGTCCTCCTGCTCGCCACATCCCAGGCTGCTCCTGCTCTGCCCACCCACCCCTCCAGGGATTCAGTACAGTCAGTGCTCTGAGCGCTGCCGGCCTCAGGAGCAGCAGGAATCTCTCTCCTCTATGTCAGGATGTCGTGGGCTTGGTGCTCCACCAGCATCTCCATGCTCCGCACGTCCGTGCACCAGAACTCCAGGCGATCCTTCATCCCTTTGATCTGCAAGGCAAGGCCACAGGAACAGAGTGCCTCAGCTCCTGGGAATGCCCACAGGCTCCTTCTCACACCTGAGAGCTCAAACCATCCCTCAAAGCCCCCCACACTGAGAAAGGGAGATGCTCCACCCCTGGAAGTGTTCCAGGCCAGGTTGGATGGGGCTTGGAACAACCTGGTTTAGTGGAAGGTGTCCCTGCCCATGGATGGTCTTTAAGGTCCCTCCCAACCATCCTGAGGGGCTTGGAACAACCTGGTTTAGTGGCAGGTGTCCCTGCCCATGGATGGCCTTTAAGGTCCCTCCCATCCTGGGATTCTGGGATTAACAGCTTCTACCAGCAAAACAGCAAGGGTTAAACTGAAATGCACCACAGGAATTGTCTGCAGCTGGAATTCCAGGCACTCATTTTTGGGTTTGAAGGTAAAGACACCC